ATTAAAAAAAAAAAAAAAAAAAAAAAATGAAACTTTGTGTCTCATCTTTTCTCCCGTTCGCTCACCTCCTCCTTCCGTCGTCGTCTGCGACAAAAATTTAATGGCGTGAGATATATATCGACCAAACAAAAAATCGAATTTTCGCAAAGAATCAATTGGAACGACGTTACACAAGATTGGATGCAGCTTCGAATATCGTTTCGAGTGTCATTTACTCATCTAGCGCGTTTTCGAGGTCAGACCGAGAGATTGGCATGCTCGTCGCTATTTTCGTACTCGCCGTCGTCGTCGTCGTCGTCGTCGTCGAGCCGCGTTTGAGGAGGCAAGAGACACACACGAATGCCGTAAGTGTACAAAGACCGCGCCGGTGGTTTCTTCGTGGCTGGACGAAGAAAGCTGCACGTTGCTGGTAAAAGATCGGGAGACACGGGAGAAGGACGGGGTCCCCCGAGTCGAGACGGAGTCGCGCGAGATAACGGCTGATAAGCAACGCGCGTCGTGCGACCTCACGTAACTGTACACTTCGGTGTAAATAAAATGAATAATGTTCCAAGTGACATCTCCGTATAATTTCTTTAATTCGAAATAATTTATCAAATAAGATAATGACAAATAAAACGCGACCCGAAGAGACTTCTCTCTCTCTTACGACAATTATTAGTCAACTTCGCGGTAAAAAGGTCGATAAGCAATGATTAACTCTTTGCGGTTCCACATTGAGATAGATTGAATGGATACACCGTGTACATTGGCTTATGGTAGAATAGCGGAGGAACTCGTGTGAAAGCCCATGGTGGAAGTCCAGGTCCATCGGCCGAGAGAGCTACCCACGACTCATCGTGTCGTTATATACGCGATAGTTATTACCTGCAGCAGCGTGACTGCCGCTGCTTGCAAACCCATTACGATTGCCGTGGCATTCTTCGTGTTTGTCCTCTCTCTCTCTCTCTCTCTCTCTATCTCTTTCTCTCCTTCCTACGCCTTCTTACACGCCCTCGTCCTGTCCCTCGTAGACGATGACGACTTCGCTCGCTTCAACCTCACATCCCCGCTTACTTCCCTGACAGAAGAAGCAGCTATAATACTCACAGCCCGTTGTTAATCGCTAAATTCATGTGATTCACGAGCGAGCGAGATGATTATTTCGTCATGCGATCGCAATCCATTTAAGACTCATTAGTATCGATTTGCGGAGAACCGCCGTTTCTTGCATCTTGCCACTTTTGTGTGATTGATGCACACGTGAATCAATTTGTCAATTAATTGACACATCGCGTCCGATATAAAAATAATCAGAATTTTGTGAACAGAAGAAATTTATTTTAACGAAATTTTGTTTTCGGACATTTTTTATTGGGAAGGGATTAAAAAATTTTGATTTAGAAAATTATTGATTAACAAAATGGATACATATAAAGGTTAAAAAAACCAAATCGATATGTATATATAAACAATATCTATTGAAAATAAACCAAAAATAAGCGACAAAACACAACACACATTAGTGACTTCGATAATCTAACGGTTATCGGTTAAAAATCTATTGATTGGCTCTTAATCGAAAGATGTCGAATCAACAAAGCTGTTATATGAACCTAACATTATTACATAATTCCTCTTATATCATATAACTGTTAATGTCGTAACTTACATTTTTTCAAGTACGATAAAAGTATTATTTCATACAAGATAAGGCGTATATCATCTTTGAATAATACGTGTGTCGCAAACACAAACATAGATACTTTGCGCTACATAGATTTATATGCTAAGATATCTTCTACGTTTCCTTCACATTCATATTGATATAAGAATTAGGTATTGTTCTTCAGATTTTTTTAATACACATTTAAACACAAATTTTAAAAACATCGCGTCATCTTTGCGTATATCATGGTTTTGAATAACACGTGTACCGCGAAAAACTAATGTATGCACTTAATAATGCACGTACGATTTATACGCTGAGATATCTTCTGTGGTTTTTTCTTCACTCATATTGATATAAGAATTAGGTGCGTATTATTCTTCAAATTTTTTAATACTTTTACAACACATTCAAACACTTAAATTTTAAAAACAAGATAAAAAATTTTTTTTAGCAGCAATTGCTGTTTTATCAGTAACACATACATCATTTGTGTCCGCGTATAAATACTATCAAGAATGTTCGTGTTCCACGTAGTGTTGCTCGAATTGTTGCGTCGAACAGTTGAAGCGAACTAATCAAAAAGCGGCAAAATGAAGACTATCTTATTTACAATTTGTGTTTTGGTAAGTTATACGAATCTATAAAACGATTTGTAAAAATTAATATTTTTAAATCTATTCTAAACACACTTGCTTGTGTATATTTTTAAACTGCTCATCGTCTAAATTTCCGATCAGATCGGATTACATATGAATCACATTTTAGATCTGTGTGTGTGTGTGTGTGTGTGTGTGTGTGTGTGTGTGTGTGACCACATCTATTTAATTTTAAAAATTGGCGCGTATGATTACACTTACTGTGTATAATATGTGTACTACATTGTAATAAATATGATAATATGTTTCTATTTTTTTTGTGAGTACATTCCGTTTGCGTGTAATTCTTTAATTATTCAACTTTAGATGTCCGTTCACGCTGCAATTTCGGTAGAGCGACATAAATTTTATGACTACATGGCAACCTGTTTACAAGATATTACGTCAAACAAAAATGCAATGAATGTCGACTTTTCTGTAGCATTTCAACCAATTTTCTCTAACAGTTTTCACGCTTCTTTTAACGCACTCCCGAGTAAGTGCTGAACATTTATATATGACTTATATAGAGTTAACAATTTCAAGATCAGTTTACATAATAGTACTGAATTTTTGCATATAAAATTCATGTTTTTGTCAATTAAAAGTAATTTCAGTAGATACACACAAATCAATATTAGCTTCGATTTAATCAAATATTAAATAATGTCTTTATATGTTGTAGAACTATCTTTCAACGCCTGGGTCAATACTTTCATATGCGCATTTAAGAAAGCTGGTGTAGTACGTTTTTTACTTATATATAAGTTTATAAAAGAATGTTTAATTATATATTTCTTTACTAAAAACTATTTAAGAGACTAAAAGGTTTCGCTGATTTTAATGTAAAATTGACTAATACGATCTTCAATTGCAAAAGTACAAATAATTTAATTTACTACTCAAATAAATTGCCAATCAAATAAAACACAAGATAAACGTTATAAAAAATATAAAAAAGTACATACGGATAAATTAAATTATTACAAATCCAATTTCTGAATAGTTATTTTTTTTTGTCTGTTAAAAATCGTCTGTTTAATTATTTTCGAACAAATACAGAGTAAGTTACTGACTATAACACCAATTCTAGGTCAATGAAGACGGTAGAATGATTAAAAGTAGACCACAACAATATTGTGCAGAAGTTTTACAGAAATCTGAGAACATACAACTATGTGAAAATCTCGTCGTGTTCTGCACTAATCTTGGTAATCAATATATCTCTATACAGATTTTACTTCTTTTTAGCTATTTTGTGAGAAAATGTTTTTGTAGAAGATATTTAATGTGTAGCGATCTGATATTTAATATATTTGTGTCGTTTTCAATATTATTTAAAATTATACATCAGTGTGATATCTTATTAGTTGTACTTGTTTTCAACATAATTTTACACAAATTCTCTTTCTGTTGCAGCATGCACTCCCGGTCCAATATGTGCTGCCGACGAAGTAGTAAACGAAGTGGGATGTAAACTAAACAATGGCATTATGTCGGTTTTCGAGTATCCATTTTGGAATGAAGTATATAAAAAAAAAAACTTTATGAGTAGCATTTATTAGAAGTATATTATATAACATGGTTGTTATTTTAAAAATGTTTTAACGAAAAAAAATAACAATTAATTAGCTAAAAAATATATGGGATTACATCTGCATGAATATTTTTGTATGTATATTGTTTTCTCGATTATATACATGTATAAAATTATTCTATTTATTAATTATCTCAGTTATATATTATGTTTATTAATTATTTGCTAGCCGATATATTGGAAAATCAGAAACAAGAGAATGGATGACGTGTCCATCGTGAATATCGCGATTGATAAAATGGAAACACGCTTTATTTCGAGAACTCGCGTCTCGTCTCGTCTCCGCGCGAGGCGTGATATCCTATCCAATTTTGTAAAGCATCGAGGCGAAAGCGTCGTTATGTATGTACATACGGCTAGAAGGAGAATCGACGGACCGTCGCAAACTGTCGCCATCGATCAGGGGGGATAGGGTTGCGAACGGCCCTTCGCGATCTCGTCGCGCTTCAACGGCCACGAAACCGACCGCGCCGACGACACACACGGTTCCGTATTACAGAATTCGGCGCCGGACGCCGATCGGAAGCAACGGTCTGAAAAATTGCTTCGTATATACACGATAGAAGCTGTTGTCAGGCTGAACATTATGTGGTTTTCGTCGGAATACGTCGCGCTCGTTTTCTTTTTCTTCTCATTTTTTTTCAGACACGCGAATCGATATACGGCGAGAATTCTCCCCTCTTGTCGTGTCTAAACATTTATCCCATAGTAATTTGTCGTGCGATATATTACCGCGATTTTCTCATCTCGCGGATAATAATTTCTTTTATTTAAATAATTAAATTCAAAAAAACCTAAGAGGATTTTTACATAATTCTCTTGAATATTTTTTTAAATAATTTTTTTTGAATTCGCGGCGAGTTTAGATCGTGTCGTCGTTTATTCTGGATGAAGAAGCACGAAGGAGAAGACAGACGGTAGTAAAAAGGAAGAGGAGAGAAGATGCTCACACGTGATCGTAAACTCGACACTTGGCCATCGATGTTCACCAAAGCGGAGGGCGAGTGAAAGTCCTTCGAAAGACACACAGAATCGCGAGTAAGACGAATGTGCGGCGCACACGCGTGTGCGCGAACGCGTGGCCTCTTACTTTTTCGCACCACGCGCGCCGCATGCACGCGTGTGCGCGCGCGCTGCACGTTGCGCGTTCTTTTCGCCGCACACAATCCGCGAGAAAGAAACGATCCGCTTGTCCTTTTTTTCCCTTTCTCCGAGCGCGACTCCCGCATAACGAGATTATATTGCGGAATTTCTCCTCGCATAATTTTTTTTATCTATTTTCTCTCGAGCGAAGAAAGAAAAGAATGAATAAGAGTCAAGGTTCATCGCGCGCAATGAGCGGCAATCATATTGCAATCAATTTGACACAAATTTTTTCTAGTTGTATCTTCTTTTTAGAAAAAAAATTAAAAATATATATTGCACTTTTTTGTTGTTGTTTTTTGTATAAGACTATACGGGTCCATCTGGATAACTACTCTTCTCTTTGGTTTTTTATTTTAATATAATATCCAAATCGCGGCATCTCTTCATTCCGCTATTCGACGAGAGGCTATTACTGCTAATTGAACTTTTGCTTTTAAAAGACGCTTGACGGCCCCGAGTCCGAGTTTGTGTAGCCGCGAACTGTCTTATTAACCCGGCGATTTTCTCGTCTAATCGTTTTGCGGGATCGGCGTAACACGCTGCGAGATCTGCGAAGCCACGCGAATCGCGTTACGAGGAGGCGCATCCTCGTATTATCGGTCGGTTGTAGCGAGCTAAACGGGCGTGCGTAAAAAAACGGGAGCAGCAGCAGCAGCAGCAACGTCCTCTCTCTCTCTCTTTCTCTCTTTTTCTCTTGGTTCGGGAACGCCATGCGAAAACGTAGGGTCGGGTACCGGCGAAAAAATTAATTGGGCGGATGTAATCCGACGATTCCCACGATTCGACTATGGTACCGGGCGGCAATCTCTCTCTGTCTCTCTCTCGCTCTCTCTTTTTCTCTCCTTTTCTTCCTTTTGCTCTGTACAGGTGGCGGACGATGTACACCACGTATGAATCGACGATCCCGGTCCATTATCGTCGCTCGCGCAAATCGCCTCTCTCGTACCTTTTTTAAGGTCGATCGAGCCGGACCCGCTCGCTGATTGTGCGTGCGTCGTTTTTGATCGACAAACGGAAATCCGCGCTGTCGGTCGTTCGACATTTGCCGACATTTGCTCGTTTCACGATACCGCGCGAATTATACGGACGAGTCATACCGCACGGATGCGTTCAACGAGCATGCGTCGCATGTTCTTCGCCGGATGATACTTCGGTATCTGAATGTCTCTGTGATGCCTACACGCAGAACCAGACTTCTCTTCGTCACATCGCATATAAGTAACCTTTTCAACTTGTTCTCGGCATGATCGTCGAAGGAACAATCAAGTTATGCGAGAAAAGCAAATTTTTGGTGAATTCATAAAAAATATATACATGTATATTTATACATAAGTATATTTATTTAAATATTTTTTGTATATTATATATGAATTAATATTAGCACAAGATATTTTTGGTTCTTTATTTGGATTGAACGAAAGATTTGTTTCGAAACGTAGAAGTGGAAAATGTAGAAATAGGAAAAAAGTTTACTCAGAGAAGAGAGAAACTTAACGGAAGACTTAATATTCCGTAATTTTGTCTTGAAAGTTTTATTTGACAAACCTTTTGCAATACTCATCTTAAAGTATTATTTTAATTGACACAAATATATATATATATATTCAAAAAATCCTGAGATTTTTTTCTACATTTTAACGCGCCAGGAACATAGAAATACACGTATCATCGGTTCTCAAAACGGAGACAGTGTTACGAATTAAAATGCACACATCTCGCCGAGTTCGCCGCAGGTAAGGGGGGGGGGCCGTCTTTTTGCGCCGGCGAACTTCTAATAATTCTTCTCGCAGCTCATCGTCCGTTACGGCGCGATCGCGTCGTAACAGTAATTCTCAGAAAATGATTATGGGCGAACGAGCGAGCGAGCGAGCGAGCGAGCGTACGCGTAGGTGGCCGCGCGGAGGATTTTCCAAGAGGGTGAAGGCACTTCTCGATGCATTCGCGGCCGCAACGTTCACTCGCGCGCACGTCCGTTTCTTCGCGAGCGATCCTCCGCTGACATTTGGAACTATCCGCACACACCTTCACGCAAAGTATGCACAACTTCGATCTCCTCTTCCTCCTCTACCTTCCATCATCTCCTGCCTGCATCGCCATCTCCTCCGCCCCCGCTTCTCTATATATTCCCCTTTCTTGTCGTGCATTTAAACGATCGAGAGTCTTAACGGTCTTACCACCGTCGCTGCTTGGCTTTACCTACATTCTATACGAGCGTATGTGCGCGTATGACGCGATAATGACGTATCCGTGAACAAAACAAAATGTCCTTTTGTCTCGGCAATAATAATAATTTTTGTATCAGAATCACAGAGAGAGAGAGAGAGAGAGAGAGATAAATGGAAAATTTGAATTTTTTACTTTAAGTTATTTTGTGCGCCAACTCTATTTATTTATTTTATTTTTATTTACTTTATTTTACTTTATTTTGTACCCTATTCATTTTTATTTTTGTCTCTAAAAAACTTTAATTAAAAATATATCTCTAATTTATACAATATTTAGCAATCGAACGCGTATATGTAAAATGAAAAATGTTTAAGCTCTCGAAACACTCGCTTGTTGAAATCAAACTTAAGTTTTTAAAACACAACTCTGATGTATGTATATTTTTAAAACATGAGTGATTAGTTTTTTTTTTTTTTTTCGATTTTCGATTATCAATACGATAAGTGATTATCGTAACGGAGGGAATTGTGCGGAGCTATTAACATCCTATATTGTACAACGGGGACGGGGAAGGAAGAGGGGATCTAGCGTGTCGGAAACCACCGCGAGGTCAGCTCTCGAGGCCTCCGCGCGGTTTTTTATGACCGCGGTTAAGAAACTAACACCCGGACCCGCCGGCGCTTCGCTACCTTTTGACCCCGCTCGGTGCCAGATGCGAGGAAATGGTATTTCGGGCTCGCACAAAATCGCGCCGTTCGCTACGCTACTCGAACTGTGAATATTTGTCGCGACCAAAATCCAACAACAATCATCGTAAAAAAAAATCAATTACTTCGACGCATCGCGCAAAAAAAAGTGTAAAAAAAGAAACAAAAAGTAAAAAGCGAGATAAAACACTTGAGGTAAGAGAATTACAATCAGTTTCTCGCGCGTTTTCTGTCGCCGAATTATTTCGTTTTTCAATCCAAATTCATTAAAATACACAACGGGATTTTTGAATGTTTTTTAAAGCTCGTCTATTGCGAGGTCGTATATACGAGCAAAATCTCGTTGTAACGCGCGCGCACACATCCTCAGAGACGCGATCTCACCTAACAGAACTCCGAATATATCACGTAACGGAGAATCGCGTACTCGTTATATTGCGAGTTAGTGGCTTGGGGTCCATTTGAATCGACGCGTGTGTAATACGTCGTCGCTGACTTCCTCGTGTCTCACCGCCGATATCGTCCTGCGCGGCGCGTCTTGTCTCATACGTCTTTACAGTTAGTCGCGTATAATCCCACGTACACAATAAAATCGTAATCGCGATATTCGCGGTTCCGCGTCGCGATGTTTATATCCGCAATCTCTCTCTCTCTCTCTCTCTTTCTATATTTTCGCGGCTTCTTATCCGCAAAACGACGCGACGCACACGTCCGCTAATCCCGCCGTTATCAAAATTACTTCTATAAATTAGCGTGATATTCTCCTCCGCGTTGGAAATCCTCGCGCGAGCGCGAGGTCGGCCTGCCGGGACCTCTCGCGCCGGTGCTTTTTCGAAGCGAGAAACCAGCCCCGACCCGATGTGTACTTCGCTACCTTCTGACCTCTTCTTCTCTGCGCGGAGTGGGCGCGAGGAGGAAAGTCGATTTTCCTCTTACCTCTCGCGCGCGCGGCGCGCA